ATTGTTACGGAATTTTTGACCAAGAGCTGTATTTCTCTTGAAGTTAAGGAATTATTTGCAATTTTATAAAACTGTTTACTCCTTTAATAAATTTAACCGATTAATATGTAATTTAGTAAAGGGTAGGATTTTTCACAAAGTAGTAAAGGGTAGGATTTTTCACAAAAATACTAATATGTGAGAATGCATAAAGGCATGTTGTTTTTTAGATTATGCATTCCATGTTAAACAGTAGTTGAATTGGTTCTGTTCTTGAATGACATGTTTTATGTTCTCATTTGCATTTCTAAAACAGCATTAAACATCAGTCTGCAATGTTGACAGTTGTGAAAAATTCCGGTATAATAATGTTTCACCAGATAAATAAGTGATATTCTAAAGTTTGTGACAGTCAGCAAAGCATGACTGCAGCTATTCATATATCAGTTAAGACAAGGACAGATACCCAATGGAAAAGAAGCTGTCGGCCTATTAGACAGTTAAGGTTAAATGTCTTTAGGTTAAAATGTTTGTGTAAGCAATTCTCCCTAACCCTCTTACTAAGTAGAATCCAAAACCCTAGACATTATATGTAAAGCAATTTAAGAAGATTCTGAAAGTTGGAGAAAATGCCGACTAGCTAAGGCCTGTGGGTCCCTGGAAAAGACAAGGCACCAGAGTACTATCAGCTGTGGCCTACTGGGTAACCTGAACTTATACCCTTCCCAATAGTAATAAGACTACGCCTTGTTCAGCAAAGGGTGAGTGGGGAACCAGAATGTTCAGCCCCAGCTAGCATTAATGAAGTGGTTCTCCTCTTCCACCATTAACGTAGTGTCACAGGAGGCCTGCTAAAACAGAAGATTTACATAAAATCCAAAGCCTTATAATTTAATACCCAATATATCTAGATTTCAATTTTTTAAGTTAGTTATCATACCAAGAACCAGGACAGTTTAAACTTTAACGAGAAAGGACAGTAAACAAACACTAACCCTAAGATAACACAAATGTTAGAATTTATATGACAATAATTTTAAAGCAACTATTGTGAAAAGCTTCAGTGAGCATGCTTGAGACAATTGAAAAACTGCAAAGTCCCAAGAAGAATTTATAAAGAACCAAATGAAAATTTTAGAGCTGTAAAACATAATAACGAAAAATTAAAAAACCCAGTGGAGGTGCTCGGCGGAAAATAGGGAGGAAAAAGAAAAGAATCAGTCAGCTTGAAAAAAAATAGGTTATTTCTCAATATCAAAAACAGAGAGAAAATAAATGGATGAAACAATGATAAATTTTAGGCATCTGTGTGACTGCAACAAACAATGTAACATTTGTATCACTGGAGTCCCAGAAGGAGTGGAGAACGAGACTGGGGATAAATTATACATTTACTTCCACCTATAACAACAACCTGGTATGCATGTGAGAGCTGGACAATGAATAAGGATTCCGACCGAAGAAGAGTTGATGCTTTTGAGTTGTGGTGCTGGCGAAGAATGCTGAAAGTACTGTGGACTGCTAAAAGAACTAACAGATCTGTCCTGGAGGAAGTGCAGCCAGAATGCTCCTTGGAAGCAAGAATGGCCAGACTTCGTCTCACCTATTTTGGTCATGTTGTAAGAAGGGACCATTCCCTGGAGAAGGATGTCATGCTTGGTAGGGTGGAGGGTGGACGAAAGAGGGGGAGGCCTTCAAGGAGATGGATTGATACAGTGGCTGCGATGATGGGCTCAAGTATAGCAGGGATTGTGGGGCTGGCGCGGGATCAGGCAGTGTTTCGTTCTGCTGTGCATGGGGTCGCTATGAGTCAGAAACGACTCGTCGGCACTTAACAACAACATAACAACAACAACATGGAAGCTGTGGTGGCGTAGTGCCTAAGACATTTGACTGTTAACCAGAAGGCTGGTGGTTCAAACCCACCTTCCACTCCTCAGAACGAAGGTTGGGCGATGTACTTCCGTAGTGATACCGCCTCAGAAACCCAAGTAGGGGTTGCTATGAGTCAGATCTGACTCAAGGGCAGTGGTGGTGGTGGTTGGTGGTAACAACAACGTATGTGTGTGTGTGTGTGTATAATCTTTGGTAAAATGCCTATTCAAGGAGATGCACTTAAAAATACCAAATAAAAGTAGAATTCTAAGAAATGTTCACATAACCCACAGGAAGGCGGGAAAAGGAAAACAAGAAAGAAATAAAAAGTAAAATGGCAGACTTAACCCCGAATAAATCAATGATTACAGTAAATGTAAGTGGTCTAAACATACTAGTTAAAAGGCAGAGATTACAGGGTAGATTAAAACACACTCACTGTATGTTGTCTATAAGAAATCATTATAAATAAAATGGTGTGGTCAGGGTGAACGTAGAAAGCAGTTTTACTTATAATAGCCAAAAACTGGAAACAACCAAAAAACCCCTTGGTAGGTGAATGGTCAAATAAAATATGGTATGTTCATGCCGTGGAATGCTATTCAGCAATGAAGAGGAACAAACTATTGGTACTTGCAACAACTTGTTTGAGTCTCAAGAGCATTATACTTAGTGGCAAAAAGCCAATTTTAAAGGGGATATCTACTATAAGATTCCATTTATATAACATCACAAAATTATAGAGATGGAGAAATAGATAGTGATTGCCAGGGATTAGGGATGGTATGGAAGAGAGAATGAGCATAACTGTTTAGTGGTAGCAAGAGGGAGATATTTGTGGTAATGAGGCATTTCTGTCTCTTAATTTTGGTGCTGGTTTCTCAAATGTACGCATATGATAAAATGGCATAGAGTGATATATACACATTGTACTGGTACTGATTTCCTGGTTTTGATGTTGTGCTATAGTTATATAAAATGTAACCAGTTGGAAATAGTGGATAAAGGGTACACAGGACCTCTTTGTAATTTTCTGTGAATCTGTTTTAAAATTTAAACATTTTAAAAAGTGAAAACATAAATCATAAGCAGAGTTTGGATATTTTAAACTAATGCATTAATATATTTTCTGCATTTTCAGGTATAGGAAGGCCTCGAAATAACAATGCCTTTTATGAATGTATAAAGTTTTTAATTTATCAGAGTTAAAGAGGCTTAGTTTGAAGAGAGCCACTTAACTACTTTGACCTCTTTAGCTTTTTTTTTTTTTTTTTTAATTATATTGGCCTCCTAGTGGCGTAATGCCTAAGGCACTTGACTGCTAACCAGAAGGCTGGCAGTTCAAATCCACCAGTCACTCCTCAAAAGGAAGTTTGGGCAATCTACTTCTGTAGTGATACCACCTCAGAAACCCAAGGAGCAACCCCTATGAGTCGGATCCGGCTTGATGGCAATGAGTTTGGTTTTCTAGGTTTTATGAAAGATTAGGTTTTATTTATCATTCTTACCTCCCTTATCACCATCAACCCAAGCCTGTTTCTATCTCCTCATTTTCCCAATATCAATTATATTAATTTTAATTGGGCCAGTATTCTGTTTTCTCAGTAAGTTGTTACACTATTCATATCTAAGTTATAATTATTTTTCCATCAGTACAACCTCTTGATTTCTCCAGAATTAATAATTGTCTTGTGTTTTTCACTTACTTAATATTCTATATGTTGTTGTTAGTTGCTATTAAGTCAACTCTAACTTGTGGTGACCTTCCTTACAAATAACAAAGCATTGCCCAGTCATGCTTCATCCTCACAGTTCTTCATATATTTGAGCTCATTTTTACAACCACCATGTCAGTCCATCTCATAGGGATTTTCCTCAAGTTTTCTATATATTTATGGTGAACCTTCACTTTCTCAATTGCAGATGTCTTTTTATTCATTCTGAGTATCAGTTTTCCAATTATTCTAATTTAAAGAGGGAAGTAATTATAGTTTGTGTTATAGAGCTTTGGTATAGAGAAAATTCTAGTGTTAAAACTTGCCTGTCAAACCAAAGTGACGGTAAATGTTCTTTATAACTTTTTCTGTCTACACATATACCCCAACTACTGCAGATAAATGAATGAATAGTCCCTTACTTCAGCTTGTCTCTTGATAACAAAAAATAATCTATAGATATTTGCGAAGAGTCAATATCGTCATCAATCTCAAACACTGGTGACATAGGGAAATGAGAAATGTTGTGGACACTAGAACACTGGAGTTCTAGTTTTGGTTTTGTTGATAATTAACCTCATCAGTCTAGGAAGATTAGGTAACTTCCTGGCCTCCCTATGTTGTTCTCTGTAATAATGACAGGATTAGGTGAATTGTAACTAAGACCTCTTCTAGTCTGAATATAATTTCAAGTAGATAGTTGATTTATTTCAACCCTGACTGTATATAGTATTTGTAAATTAAGAATGTTGTCATTTTCAGTACTTCTAAAGAAAACCCTGATGTTTAGCGAGAAATTGGATTTTAAAAGGCCTGAAATTATTTCTGAAGCCTTGTAGAGAAGGAAGTTATAAAAGACAAAAATGAATCATCAGTGTTGCCTTTGTTGTACTCCAGGTTAGGCTACACGAATTGTGGTTTTAACTTCCCAAGAATGCCTAGAAAAGGAAAATTCTCAGGTCATCAAAAAACCTCATTAGTTACTACTCAAAAGGTTAGGTTTGACATGTACAGTATGCACTGAAATAATTAGTATGGCTTTAATGGTGATTTTTAAAAATTCTAGATGGATCCTTGAGGGCTTCTGAGTGAGTCCTTGGTGGTCTAGCAGGTTTTAGTTCATGTAGGGAAGCATAGAATGTGCTTTTCTTCATTTTCAAGTATTTTACTTAATTGTGGATGGTGATATGAGAGGTATTTGTTATTTAGAATACTTAATTTGTTTTTAGAGGGCATTAAGTTGAATTATTTACATATGGAAATGAATTTGTGAGTTCATTAATGTAACTCTAAGTATAGTTTTGATGGTGCTGATATATAATGTGCTTTAGTGTGGTATTCCATGAAAAGCACATATGTAATTTAATTTTATAACAAACATTTATTTAGTAATTATTATTCACTGTTAACATATTTTACTGATTTTTTCAGGTACTTGAAGAAGCAGAAGCTCAACATTTATATCAGTTCATTTTGCCTAATATGGTGAAAATTGCACTCTGTCTGCCAAATATTTGCACCCAGGTTAGTGGATATAACTTTTCTCAGTAGCTTTCTTAAGACTGAAAAAAAACTAAATTTCCTTTAAACTCTTATGGTCAAGGTCAGAGAGAGAGATGGGAAACAGTTTTTGCCAAAGAGTATTTTGCTTTATTAAAGAAAAGGTTGGAGGCTAGAGAGAATGCTGCAAAAGAACATTAAAAATGCAGCATTCAATTTCTGAGCTTCAGTTTACACTGTTGAAGTTTGTTTACTCAAGACTTCTTTTTCTCTTTTTCTTTGAAGTATCTCTTACCTTTAAAAAAAAAAGAGAGTTGTTATTTCAAAACATTACTAATGGATTTGGAACATTTTATCTTAAAAATAATTAGTCCTGGTAGTGCAGCAGTTAGAGTACTCAACTGCAAACTAAAAGGTCAGCAGTTCAAACCCCCCACTGACTCCACAGGAAAAAAGATGTACCAGTGTGTGCCCATAAAGATTACAGACTTGGAAACTCTTTGGGGCAGTTCTCCTTCATTGCTGTGAGTTGGTATCAGTTGGATGGCAATAGGGAGAAATCTTCAGAATTACTCAGTATCACCCAGTTTTTCCTCACACAAAATGGTGTGTGTTTTAACAAACGAGTTTATGATACTTTCTTAACTTTAAAAATATAAGAAAGTATCCATTATTATTTCATTTACTTAGGGTATATTAATTATATGTCGCTGTGTAACAAAGAGCTCTTAAGGAGCTGCGGTTAAGGCACTGGGCTGTAACAAAAAGGTCGGCGGTTCCAACCCACGACCCTCTCCTTGAAGGTACATGAGGCAGTAAAATCTCTTACTACTTCCAAGGCTCAGCCTAATTTTTACTTCCACTGTGAAGCCTTTCCTGACTCTTCCAGCCAAGATTAATCCCTCCTGTCTCACTCAAATCATACTTAGCACATTGTTTTGTAATTTATGCTTTTGTTATCTCGTCCCACTAGATTATATTCTTTTTGAAGGCAGATCCTCTTTGTGTCCCCAGCTTTTGCGTGGACCACATTCATTAATTTTTTTTTTTAATTTAATGTGTAGTTCACAGTTGACCTTTTGCCATGAGTCACTTTTTCCTCTCTCTTTTGCTCAGAAGAAAAATTTTCCATATTTTACTTAATGAAAATATTGATTCAAAATATATAAATTTCTAAGTTGTCACAAATAACTTGATAGAACTATAGTCAGACTCAAGATTCTCCATCTTTCTCCTGGTTTAGAGTAGCTTCGTTTGTCCATTAGTATATCAATGGGACAAACATCTTAGTTGTCTGCTCTCTCTTCTACTGAAAAGTAAATCTTTACTGTGAGAGTTCAGATTTTGATTTGAGATCAAAATACATCTTTTGTTGAGTTAAACTGCATATATAATAATTAATCACATTAAAATACTGTAGGCCAAATCCAAAAGGTAAAAGGAAATTTATAAAAAGAAATTAAAGAGAACAAATTTTAGACAGGGACCTTTTTTAAAAAAAAAAAAAAATACTACTTTATTATGCTTTCGTTGAAAGTTTACATAGGAGTTTAGGTTCCCATTCAGCATAAGTTGTTCAGTTACATTGGTTACATTCTTCACAATGCTTGAGCATTCTCGTTATTTCTGTTCTGGTTATTCTGTTTCCATTCATCTAATTTTTCTGCTCCTTTACATTCTTATCTTTGTATTAAAGTAATTGTTGACCATTTGATTTCATAGAGGTGATTTTTCAAAGGAGCACATTACTTATGAGTGATATTCATTATTTTCTGAGCTAATTTGTTATTTAGCTAGAAGGTGACCTTAAGGATTGGTTTCAATTCAAGGTTTGAAGATTATCTCAGGGCAGTAGTCTAGCGGAGTCCTCCAATATCTCAACTGGTCCATTAGGTCTAGTGTTTTTTTTTTGTTTGTATTAGGAATTTGAGGTTTGTGTTATTTTTTTCTCCCATTCTGTCAGGGTCTGTTGTAGCCCTGATTAGAACAGTTGGTGGTTGTAGCTGAGCACCACCTAGTTCTTCTGGTCTCAGGATAGATGAGGCTTTGGTTCATGTAGACTGTCTTGAAGACTATTTTCTTCTTTAGAGTCTTTAGTTTCCTTTCTCTTTTGCTCCAGATGAGTGGAAACTAATAGTTGTATCTTAGATGACTACTCGCAAGTTTTTAAGACCCCAGACACTACTTATCAAACTAGGATTAGATCATAACTTTATAAACTATATTATAATATGCCAATAGACTGAGATGTCCCAAGAGACTATGATCTTAATCCTTCAAACCCAGAAATTTAATCCTAGGAGGTGTTTGGTCATATCCAAGAAGTATCCATAATTGTGCATTCTATATGCTTTATTATATATATATAATGTGTGCATACAGTCACATAGATTCATTGGACAGGGACTTTTTGAAAGATCATGGTTCATAATAACTAGCCTCTTATTTTATCTTGATATGATGTACATCCTCACATTTTCCCCACATACAGGGTTTTAGGCATTTCTCCTCCCCAAGAGAACAGAAATCATCTTTGGAAATTAAAAGATGCTTGTGTTTAGAATCTACCAAACCTAAAATATTCACTATAAATTTTTAATCATTTTCCTTGATAACTTGGAAAATGGTAGTTAAAAAGCTCATTTTTCATTAAGACCTATTAAATTTGTTTTAAATAACTGACACACTGTTACCTTTTCTAAACTCAGTGCTGGGTTGTGAATAAATGTATGGGATAGACAGTGTATAGGATAAGTGTATGTTGTTGTTGTTGTTGTTGTTATGTGCCGTCAAGTTGGACCCAACTCATAGCGACCCCTCCTTGAGTTTCTGAGGCGGTATCACTATGGAAGTAGATGGCCCAACCTTCCTTCCGAGGAGTAGCTGGTGGGTTTGAACCACCAGCCTTCTGGTTAGCAGTCAAATGCCTTAGGTACTGCACTACCACAGCTCCTGGATAAGTGTATAGGATAATATAAAATGAATAGCTTATCAATATAAGCTCTCTGTTTCCTCTTTCTTAGAAATGTTGATCGCCAAGACCTGAAAAGAGAGAGAAGTTGGGATACTGTAGTGAAAATAAGTAACCCTGGTAGCACAGTGGTTAAGCCTTAGGCTGCTAACTAGAAGAGCAGAAGTTTGAACCCACCATTTGTTTCATGGGAGAAAGATGTGGCATCCTGCTTCTATAAAAGATTACAGCCTTGGAAACCTTATGGGTCAGGTCTGCTCTGTCCTGTAGAGTTCCTGTGAGTTGGAATTAACTTGACGGCAGTGGGTTTTGTTTTTTCAGTAGTGAAAACAAATTATTTACCTTTTGCTTGTGTGTTACTTTTTATTTTTTTCAAGGGAAATGATTGAACTGCAAGTTTAACCTTTTTTTTCCCCGTCACTGCCATCGAGTTGATTCTGACTCATAGTGACCCCTCTTGGGTTTCTAAGGCTGTAAACCTTTATGGAAGCACACTACTTCTTTCTTCCATGGGGCAGCTTGGTAGGCTCACTCCTTTTGGTTAGCAGCCAAATGCCTTAACTACTACACCAGCAGAGCTCCTTGCAATAATGTGTTTTTCTCATGATTTAGAAAAAAGTTAATTCTGCAGCATTGTGGTTTTGATTTGCCTTGTCTATATTTCCTCATTGAAGTTATCAAAGATTTCATTTTACTTGGATCTACAATTAACACTTCATGGAAGCAGCAGTCAAGAAATCAGACGTCATATTGCACTGGGCAAATCTGCTGCAAAAGACCTCTTTAAAATACTGAAGAGCGAAGATGTCGCTTTGAAGACTAAGGTTTGCCTAGCCCAACCTATAGTTTTCAATCATCTCATAAGCATGTGAAAGCTCAGCAATGAATAAAGAAGACCAAAGAAGAATTGATGCCTTTGAACTGTGCTGTCCATGAAGGATGCTGAAAATACCCTGGACTGCCAGAAGAACAAACAGATCTGTCCTGGAAAGAGGGCAGCCGGATTGCTCCTTAGAAGCAAGAATGGCCAAACTTCGTCTCACCTACTTTGGTCATGTTGTCAGGAGGGACCAGTCCCTAGAGGATACCATGCTGGGTAAAGTGGAGGTTCAGAGAAAAAGGGGAAATCCTCAGGATGGAATGACACAGTGGCTGCGCAACTATGGGCTCAAGCATAGCAAGGATTGTGAGGATGGTGCAGGACTGGGCAATATTTTGTTCTATTGTTGTACATAGAGTCGCTATGGTTTGGAACCAACTCAACAGCACCTAACAACAACAACATCTTTACTCATTTTCACTTTGGGTATTCATTCTTTTTTTTTTTTTTTCCTTCTGTATTTCTGATAT